TTTTTTTTTTTTTTTTTTTTTTTACTTTTTGTTTTCACTTCATTGCGGGGCCTGAACAATTTTATTATTTTATGAAACTGTTTTGATGCGTTTTGTATTATGTGAAGTACACATCTGTAAATTTTCAGGGCATTTGGATCCGCCAAAAAAAAATGAAAAATCGCTCAAGATGGTGGTGTCGAAAACATGCTCGCTCACTGACTAATTTTATTTCTCTTTTTATTTTATCTTATTTTTATTATTAGTTCTATTTTTTGTATTTTATTTTTATTTCAAAATTGGTAAGGAATTTGGATGTAATGCTCAGGAAAATGTTGTTTATTTTATTTTTCTCCATAACATATCTTTTTTTTTTTTATTATTTTTTATTTTTATTTTTTTTTAGGCCGAACGCATCCCCAAGGGGTCCCGCACGTTCGGGCGTTCGGCCCGTCCTGAACGCCGGTTACCCTGTATAGATAGATAGATAGATAGATAGATAGATAGAGAGATAGATAGATAGATAGATAGATAGAGAGATAGATAGATAGAGAGAGAGAGAGAGAGAGAGAGAGAGAGAGAGAGAGAGAGAGAGAGTCAAACAGAGCTGCCTGGTAAACCGTTGGCAGAGAGGGAGAAGAGGACAACAAATGAGGGCTGCGGCAAACTGTTTCATCGGAGTTTCACCGACTTAGAGCTGCGCGGTAAACCGTAGGCAGAGATGGAGAAGAGGACAATAAACAAGGGGCTGTGACAGTATATATATATATATATAAATAGAACTGCCCGGTAAACCGTAGGCAGAGAGGGAGAAGAGGACAACAAACGAGGGGCTGTGACAAACTGTTTCATATATATAGGGTTCAGCCTCCTGATGAGTCGGTGAAACTCCGACGAAACAGTTTGTCACAGCCCCTCGTTTGTTGTCCTCTTCTCTCTCTCTGCCTACGGTTCACCGGGCAATTCTGTTTGTGACGATATATATATATATATATCATCACAAATAGTATATATATATAGGGTAACACCGGCGTTCAGGACGGCCTGAATGCCCGAACCCGAACGCCCGAACGTACAGGACCCCTTGGGGATGCGTTCAGGCCGAACGCGGACGGGGAAGGGCAGGTATGCAGGGTCTGCTCCCCATGGTGCTCTTTGATCTTCTTCTTTCTTTCATGGAGGGCCTGATGGATTCTGGCTCATTGCCGGAATCAAACGAAACAAATTGTAACAAGGAATTCAACATGTGTGTGAGTGTGTGCTGGCGGGAGGAGGGGGGGGGGGGGGGCGGGGAAGGGCGCATAAATTGTCACCATAACAACTCCTTTTCCATCCAGAGGAGTAGACTTGAATCCGATACAGCTTGCTTGACGTTAGTTTCTTAGGCATGTCAAATGCCACCATAACAACCCCTTTTCACCCAGATGAATAGATCCAGAATCAAAGAAATGGTTTGACCTTAAAATCTTTTACAGCAGACATCATCAAGCGCACGAAAGCTGTGCTATATATATTTTTTTGAAACAAGTGCTCCGGTCTATTCGTGGGGAGCAGCACGTGCTGGGAACCGGGCCCAATGTCCCATATCAAATTGTAGTATTGTACAGATCATTTGAGATCATTTGAGACCATTTGAGATACCGGGGCCATTACCCGGCTTCGGCTGAGAAAAGTCTTAGAACACGATGTGATTCAGAAAACATGGGGAGGATCATGAATATCTAATGACCTATTAAAGAACCATTCATGCAATAAGCTGCCACAGAGGTCCTACAAATGCTCACAAAAAAAACAACAACAAATGCTCACAACCCTCAGGATCCCTACCAAACCCTTATAAGACTTTCCAACACAGTCTTACTCCCTGCCGAGCTCTTCCAGGCCTCATGCCCCTACCCTGCTGGGTTACAGGGCAACACGACTCGCCCCAGCTCCGACCAGCGTCGTCCCAGCAGCACCCCTTGGTTGTCCCTTGGGATGCCCACCCCAAGGCATCCCAGGATCTCTCTACCAGGCCTCACACTCCTGCATTGGCACATCGTCATGCAATTCTGTCTTTGCCATTAGATTGCTTTTCACTCATGCTTATGCAGCTCTTGTGTGTGTGTGTGTGTGTGTGTGTGTGTGTGTGTGTGTAGAGAGAGAGAGAGGGTTTGAGGGAGAGGTGGATTGTGTTCCTTTTTTTTTTTTTTTTTTGCAAAACAAAATGCCCCTTCTATTCTGGGGGGCTCAGTCCGGTTGCTCATCACCGGCAAGTATGTTTTTACATCTGAAAAGAGGAGGGGGAGGAGAGCAGACAAGACAGAGGACCAGCCCGTCCCTCGTGGCCCTAGACGCCTGCCAAGGGAGGGACTGTTTTGGGGCAACCCACCCCCATATCCTTAGCCTTTCGGGGGGTTGCCCTCCTTGTTCCTTTTTTTTTTTGCTTGCTTTTTTTGTTTTTTTTTTCTTTCAAGGAACTCCTGGGGGATATCCACTTTGTTCCTTGTTCCTTGGGGACTGCTGTTGGCTGAATTTGATTTCCAATTGTGGGGGGTTCATTTCCGGAATTGTTTTGCGAGAAACACTTTGCTAGGACTTACCTTTGATTTTGTTTTCCTTCTTTTTTCTTAGGAGTGATGGTATGAGCATACACTCCTACCTATCTTACGGGGGGCTCCAGTCTATTGATGGGGAGATACACCTGCTGGAAAGCGGGCCCAGCGTCCCTTCAGGTACAATTGGAACAATTGAATGCAATGGCTGACTCTTTGTCAATTGCTTGTTTTTTTCTTGTGGTTGCATCTCTGTTGTCAATTACGGTGATTCAGGACCGGTGACATAGCGTTTTCAAGCTCCTCAGTGCATGGGTGCCGTGTTGCCTCCCGGCAAGGTTTGTTTCTGTTGTTGCTTTTCCCATTGCGCTTTTCAAACTTTTGTTTCTGACAACCCTTTGGTGGTTCTCCCGCTAAACTTCAAACTTTTGTTTCTCAGAAACTTTTGGTGGTTCTCCCGCGATACTCTACTCAACTCAGCCTCTCCCAGCAGTCCTTCATGCTCTCCCGATTCGCAGAAAGCGACGGGGTCAAGAGGAAGGAGATCACCACATATGATTAGTCATACGACAGGGGGCAGGGTTTGTTGTCCTCAAAACACCAGTTCACATGAGCCTAATTTGACGAAGCTACCTTTCAACCCACGCAGGCGTGCAATTGGGCCTTTCCGAAGTGGCCTGCTGTGTTCGCTATTGGTCGAGGGCCAAATCGAAAATATCTCGCCGTGTAAACGGGTAAGAGCCCTAATCTGCTTCAGGTGAACTAGAGTTCAAAAAAAAAAGAAAAGAAATGAAGAACTTGGCTTGTGAGCCAAGTTGAGTGAGCCGTTGTTTGGATGAGAGGATGCCCCATCGACATGATGAGAGTATCATCATGGATTGGACCCTCACATTTACAGAGCCGTTTCTGTTTTCGGGGTATACAGAAGCAAGGCACCTGGATTGGACCCTCACATTAGTCAGCCGTTTCTGTTTTCACGGTATACAGAAGCAAGGCACCTGGTCCCTCCCTGGTGCCCCCCCCTCGCTTCGACCCGTACGTGTTTGGGCTCCGAAGGGAACAGCCCGCCATCACAGCCCATCGCCACGGAGCCCTCCATCGTGCCGCGTCATCCATCGGGCGTGCTGAAGCTTGCGACAGCAGAGCGAGCGAGCGAGAGAGAGAGAGAGAGAGAGAGAGAGAGAGAGAGAGAGAGAGAGAGAGAGAGAGAGAGAGAACCTGGCCTGGGAGTGTTCGGGATACGTGGCCATGGGAGAAGCGGAGGGGGGGGGGATAGGTGGCTACGGGAGAAGCGGGCAGAGTGAGGCGGGTTGCAGAGAAGCGGCGCGGCAGCGGAGTACGGCAGCGCAGCGGGGGGATAGGTGGCCAACATTTTCCTTTTTTTTTTTCCGGACCTGTCCAGACATCCGGACCGTCCGGATCCTTCCGTGTCCCGAGGTCCAGAAATGTCCAGAATTCCGGACGTCTGGAAGCGACCGGACACGTGTCCGGTTTGATGTCCGGAAATGTCCGGGTGCGGGTCCGGGTACGACGTAGCCATGGTTTCTTCTTTTTATTTATTTGGTCTCGAGTAGCTTCCTTAAAAGCTCGACATGCAGGTTGTTAGGGAGGCCCGTTGTTCTTTTTCTTTGTGGCCCAAAGAGCAGCCGCACATCTTTTTTCTTCCAGGTGACGAATTGTGAGCTGGGTCCATGAGGCACTTGGCGTGAAGAAGAGACGAAGAGAAGAAGAGAGGAAGAGAAGAAGAGAAGAGGAGAAGAGGAGACTGTACGACCCAGAGTTGTGGCAGGAGAATGGATACAAAAGCACTCCAACTCAAACAACCAATAGGCATCTCCAAATGAGCATAGCAATCTTTCCATCGCCAGAAAAAACACGGTCATTCCCTTGCTACCGCAAGCAAAATCATTAGGGGGACTATACTCCAACCACGAAGCACCAAGCACATGATTGAAACCAGGAGGCCTAGTCCTTTTGCCTAGCCTCCTTTTGTATTAACCTACTCCGGTCCTTCTCGGTTTCATCAACCTCCTTCCCTCTCCCTCTTTCCATCTCCACCCTCTCCCGTCTGTCAAAACCAGAAGTGCATACAGCGCCATCCCCCCCGGCTCGTATGTAGCTCCATCTGTGCAGAAATATCTGTCCCAATAACCGTTTCCATTGTGCTTCTGCTCCACCCACAACACCGCCATCGACTGAAGTCATGCTGCTTGCAGCCAACCAGAGAGTCCGTCTTCTCGCGACGCAGAGCACCAGTAACCACCAGGTAGGACAGTGAAAACACGTGCTCACTCTCCAACACATCCATCACCGTCGCAAGAGCGCTGTGTCAGTCAGGAGCGAATCTCGCCTCGACTTACGCTCCCTCCAGTGCAAGAATGATCTGCCTCACCCTTGCAGGAGTCCAGCCCTGGAAGGTCGCGCTCGTACCAACTCCTGGTCTAGGTACTGGAGTACCCCATACTTTTCCCTCCTTTGCTCTTCCAACAGTGAAACTCACATCCTCAGGACATCCTGCTCCAACTAGAGCATCCCCAAAACCAAACGAAATGAAGCTGCCACCCCTCCCCCCCGCTCTCCCCCCTGCCTTCCTCTGTTCATTTCTGACAGAGCATCCAAAACTGAAAAGAAAACCCTCACTCCTGTAATCCCAGGCCCCCAGAACCCAGTAAAATTTGGAGGATGTCACAAGGTTCAATATTCCACCCCCAAGTCCATCTGGGCATCTGTTAAAATTGGCATGATTCAGAGAAGATTAGCATGGGCTCTGCGCACACATAAATCGAGAAATGGTCCAAAATAAAAAATAATAATAAAAAATTCCACTCACCAACCTGTCTATGGTACACAGGTATCCTACAGGTATGTTCCATATAGAGCCTCAGGGATATCGCCAGATTGGCAGACCTGGGCAACCACCTCCAGGTAAGCCCCCCTAAAAAAAAGACGTACGTCCGAATCCTTCAAAATCTTCAAGAAGTCAGAGCGAATGCCTCCTACGAATCTTTCTTGCAAATCTCTCTCTCAGGAACGCAGCTCTTACGAAAGAGCTACCGTCTTCACCCAAAATAATAGAACGCCCGGTCGTTATAGCGGTATCAGGACTGAAGTTTGCACCAAATACGGCTATAATGAATGACAGGGCGTTCTATTCGGGTGCAGCAGTTACTGTTTGATAGACATTAAAGCTATAGCTGCACACGTATCGAACGTGCCCGTCGAAGGGCCGTCATGATCTTGTGTACCTGACATAAGGTGCTGATGAGGGATCTGAAACGGTTTCACCTTAGCAGTAGCAGATGCAGATCCCAGGGCTCGATCCCTAGACCTTACCACACCCGTGTACAGTATCGAGTCGACCCCTGTTTGTTTGAACCAGTGACCTGTGTTTTGGTAGTTGACTCTTGCCTGTCGTAGGTCTGTGTAGCTGTAGGGGTTCGATCTGTAGATCTGTCGACTAGGGGTCTTAGTTGTGTAGAGGTCGTAGCTGTAGCACTTCTGAAAGGTCAAGGTTGCAGCTGCTACAGTCCTGAAAGGTCAAGGTCGTAGCTGCTACAGTGGCCTTTCGAGTTTTTTTCTCACGTTACTCACAGCAGACCAGAGGCAAGTGGGCAAATGGTGAGTCCAACTTCGCTTAGTCAGCGGTACCCAGTCCCAGTCTCACTTTGTACAGTCAGCAAGTACCATGAGGGACTGTGTGCACCATGGGCCTGGTGGAAAAGGGCAGACCAGCAACTTACAGAAGTATAAATCAAGAGGCAGCATCCAGCCATTCATTCATTCCTGCGTGAGCCATGCGGAAGCGCTGCCATAGCATCTTGTGCGAGGTGGTCTGCAGATGCCCGAGGTCGAAGTGGGCTGAAGGGAGATAGAGTATCCATAGCCAGTAGAGGTTAGGCGGCCATAGCCGCTGTAGCTAGAGACATAGTTCAGTGTGTGTGTGTGTTCGGTACTGAGTGTGCGTGCGTGGGATATCCAGGGAGATCCAGTGTGACGTGCATGTGAACCGTTGAGGTGAAGAGGGATGTATAAGCGCTCAGGCGCCATATTTAAATTGAAGCGAGTGTGTATCTGAACTGTGTCCTTGCCTTGAATATCTCTCAGCTTTGTGTGGGCGCCCAGCGCCAGTGTGGAATGCCATCTGTTTGTGTGCATGCGAGGTGAGAAGAAAGCGAGTCTGATTGCAGATCCTACCTTCTCTCTCTTACTCGGATATGTATGAATCGTAATCTTGGAAAGATCCATATGTCAGTTCTCCTGACTCCCCCACGTGGTCACTGCCTTCGTGACTAAGGCCATAAATCCCCAAATCAAACCCGAAAAACTTCCAGCCGTACACCTGCAAAATTCCACGCTACCAGAAGCATCATCCGTCCTTTTCATCCTGAGGGTCAAACCATAATTTCCCCTGAAACGTTCCAAGATTCACGTAGACTTTTTCCGTAGCTCGCCGCCTTTGTCTAAAATAACAACAGCGACATCGTCCGTGATACGGAAGTCAAAGACCAGTCTTCCATCCCAACCCAGATGGGTGAGCTAATTGTACTTAGCACATGCACAGAGAATACAAGCGAGGGGGCAACGCGTTGACTTACCCACAGGGTCTCCGATTATCTGTTGCAGAACTCTGTCAGCTGACCGGATGAAAGTATAAGGGAGGCTGGACGCAGTTTCCAGCTTTAATAAAAATGAGAGAACCTTTTTGAGGCTTTTTCAACCAAAAAAAAAAAAAAAAAAAAGATATAATATCTCAGATTGAATGTGACTGTTCCCCTGGTGATGTACTGCAAGGAGGGCATGATCGCCTCGTCCCTGCTCCATCTGACACACAGGAAAGGTCCCTTTTTTGAATTTTTTTAAACTATCTTCGTCTCTTCACAATTCTGACCCATTTGTAACCTTTCCTACAGCAGAAACTTCAAAATTTTAACAATGGGTCAGAATTGCGAAGTGTTATGATCCTGGCCAATTTCAAAGTACACATTCATCAGATAGTATAATGCCGTCCAATTGCAGAAAGAAATGAATGAACTTGAGAGGAGAGAGAGGATAAGAAGAAGAAGAAGAAGAAGAAAGAAAGAAGAATAAGATGATGTACACCAGCATAGACAAGTGACAAAGCTCTTCTTCTTCGCCCAACGCTCTCCTCCTCCTTTACTCCTCTCTTATTCATACAAGAAATAATAGTACAATGTTGAATGGCTGATCCAGAATCATGTCCAAGTTCCTCTTCTACTGCAGGTATCACTTGAGGTCCACCATAGCCATGGCCGCCTCCCTCACTCTTCACTCTCATAGGCTGAGGCTATGGCGGACTACTTGGGCCTTGCCCTGCTGTGCACAGGACAACGCAAAGCAGTTATGGCTGCTCTAGCTCAGGCCGCCATGCCTGACTCTGCCTCGAAGCTTCTTGGTGTAGCTCTCCCCAGCTGGAGTCTCCCTGTGGCAGCGCCCACCAAGGTGATGAAGATGGCTGCCACCATAGCCAGGTAAGTACCTCTGGCGCTCCCCCTTCCTCCTGCTCTTCTTCCTCCTCCGTGTGCTTGCTCCTTCCCCAGCAGCGCTGCTCAAAGCTAGCGCTGCTCCAGCCAGCGCTCCAACCAGTGTGTCGCCAAACTTGCACACCGACAATGAGGCTGGGCTCTTCGCCCGACTTGGAGATATAGCGGCCTGCTTGCCTCTTGGGTGGTGACTTCCAGGCTGCTCGGCCTTCCCAACAACTGGTACCTCCTCCCTTTCGGAGGGAATCATCATTGCAGACCCTGATATTGCCCATACAGGCCCTATACTCAGACTGGTTGGACTGGTACCCGCCTAGACCCAGCCTACAACTACTTGGCCTCTCAAAATGCCACTTTTGTCTTCTTCTGCTCGGCCTCCAGTACCCGCACATCTACCTCTTCAGGGTGCGTTACTGGCCTACCTGCTACTTGAGTGTTTTCCCCCGCTGCAATCCCTCAATGTCACGGCCACAGGTAAGTACCGGCCCTGAGGGCCCAACGAACGGACAAGTACCCTGGCGGGTCACACACACACTCAAGCCAACCAGCACTCAGACAGACATGCAGACCAGCAAGCATGCACACACACACAGACATGCAGAACTTAGTGGCAAGCGGGAAACTCAGCGAGGCATTCAGTCCATGAGCAAAACTCAGAAATCAGCTGTGTGTCTCAGTCCGTGTTTGGTCGGGTCATCACAGAAGAGAAGAAAAAAGGTAAAAAAACTTCAAAAAAGGGACCTTTCCGTCAGCTGGGTAACTGCATCCATAATATTGGCCTCACTCTCACTCCTCTCCTCTCGGTTGCATGTCGAGCTATGGCGGTCCATCCATGGGCATCAAGGATGTTCAAGGGGCAACGCAACTACTACCGTGCCTCTCCCATCTCATTTGGCCATAGCCACACTCTCAGATGAAGTCCAAGACCAGCCGACACCCACATAGGGGCCTTCTAGGTGCAGCCCCAACCAAGCACGGGGAGATGAAGGTCATCCATATCCGAAGGTGAGTATCCCACCTCGGTTCCTTCCTCCATCCTCTCATCAACCTATATGGCCTATGCTGCTCCATAGTCTGGCTTGAGGTCCTTCATCCTCGACCTCCATAGCACAGGCCTACATCCTTCTACTCATCCATAGCCATGGAGGTCTTCTCCTTCACCCTCTAGGCTGAGCAGCAGCATGACCGCCGGGTAACGTGTTGCTGCACTTTGCTGTCGAGTGGTATACTCTTGCAACTCAGTCTCCAGCCTCCCTTGGCCAGGGTACTACTGCGTCTTCCGGTGTGCTAGGCCTAGTGGAAGTTCCTGCCTTTGGGTGGGAACATCATTGCTGTCTGCAGTTCAGCTACTGGGCCTGTATCTAGACTAAAATCCACCTGGATACGGACCTAGACACTCGTCACTTCTTTTTTTTTGGAGTCTACTAGACCCTACCTAAGCTTACAGGAATCCACTTGGGCCGACCCGAGTTGCTGGAAATCCCCTACTGGGTACTTGCCAAATTGTACATTCGTCCTCGTCCGTCCTGGCCTTCTACTTCCGCCCGGCGTTCAGTCTCAGCCTGACCCCTCTGGTTCTCCTATTTCTGATCTACCCTGCCTATACCTAGACACTCATGACGTCTTTTGGAGTCTACCATACCTACTTAAGCTTACGGGACTTCATTTGGGCCTACCCGAGTTGCTGGAAAATCCCTACCGGGTGCTTGCCAAATTGGCGTTTGTCCTTGTCCGTCCTGGCCTTCTACTAAGTCTGCCGGGTGCCCAGTCTCAGCCCCACCCCTTTGGTTCCCGTGTTTCCGATCTACCCCTTCCTGGAGGCTGGAACACAGAAAACACAGTGCGAGAACAAAGTTAGTATACAGCATAGCAATCATCACAAAGGTACTTGGAGACATGCAAGCGAACAGCAATATCCCTCGAGACAAAGAAATCTCAGCAAGTCAAACCAGCAAGTGGCAATACTCAGAAAACCGTGTAAATCTCAGACTGACTCTGTGTGGGTCATTGCATTCCCTCCCCCTCCCCCCCCCTCCCCCCAATCGATGCTGTTGATTTTTGGTTTGCAGCATCTTCTGATGAAGGACGATGCCAGCAGAAGAGCCATGTGCCGCGATCCACTGCACCAAGAGCAGTACTGCATGTGGAGAAAGTGGAAATAAGTGCGGCAGCAGCAGCGGTGCCGACCACGGCGGCACCACCACCTGCTTGGCCCGGCTTTGTTGAAGTTCCAGCAGATAAGAAGAAGTGGAAAGGCCAGAAGCCCATTGCTCTGATAGGCTCCACTGGCTCCATTGGAACCCAGGTGAGGAGAAGGTTGGGGGAAGGGCGGGGGGGAGGGGCGGCGTGAGGACGGGGAGCGGGGGACGGATTTGGGGCTGA